CTGCTTCCAATCCAGCTTCCTGCTAACGCGGCTTGGGAGGCAGCAGATACGATTCAAATGCTTGAGCCTCTGCTCTACTTGGGAGACCAGATGGAATTCTATGGTCCTGTCTTCAACCTTGCCCAACCCTGGCTGTTGTGGGCATTTGCGGCATGAAAGGTCTCTCTCTCTCTCTCAGTTGGCCTTTCAAATAGATGAAAATAAAACTTCATAAAGAAGAAATTAAATAAGGAAACAGAGGTTTTGAGGTTTAAACAGCTTAAAGATTACACAAAGAGGGATAAAACTTGAGCCCCAATCCGACGTTTATAAGCCCAAGTATGTACATTGGCTTGTTCTGAAAAATCAAAGCAGATACCTGTGAAGGCACTTTGAAAAATTACAAAATCATACACAAATGTGAAGTACCACAAACTCTTTTAACAAAACAGCTCAAAGTAACAAATGGCTTTTCAACGGCTCATTGCATGGGTTATGTCAGTGCTTGCTGCAGCCCACTGAACCTTTCTCTGTGCTTTTGTGTCAACATCCATCTTCTAAACCCAGAGCTGTCTGGAATACTGCCACAAATTACCATTTTAAACATGCGATGTCCTTCAGTTTACATCTGCAGATTTCAGTGAAATAGCTTCTTCCAATGAAGTCCACTGCACTGAGGATGGAAAAGTGCAGAGAAAATTAAATGAGCTTTAAAAGAAATGGTGAAAGAAATCCACAGAAACAAAAATTCCCATTCTAATCATTTGATTATGGAGAGAGACAGAGAAATCTCTACCATCTGCTGGTTCATTCCCCAAACGACCGCAAACACCCATAACCGGCAGCCACAGACTCCCTCGGGATCTTCCACATGGGTGCAGGGGCTCAAGAACTTAGTTTACCTTCTGGTGCCTTCCCAGGTACATTAGCAGGAAGCTGGACTGGAAGCAAGGTAGCCAGGACTTGAACTGGCACTCTGATATGAGATGCTGGTGTTATAATTAGTGACTTAACCTACTATACCACAACACCAGCCCTCATTGTGAGCATTTTCAAGTGTGCAGTTCAGAACTGTTAAGTATAGTCATGTTATCACACAAATTTTCCAGACCTTTTTCAACTTGTAAAACCGAAACCTAATACTTACTAAAAAAAAAACAAAAAAAAAAAACACCATTTCCCTTTCCCCCAGTTTCTGGTCAGCACTATTTTACTTTCTGTTTCTATGAATTAGACTATTTCAGGTGTCTTATATAAATAGAACCATACATTTGTCCTTCAGTGACTGCACTCATGGTGTAGCATGTAACAGAATTTTCTTCTTTTTTAAGGCTGAATAAATAATCTATTACATGTACACCACAATTTATTCATCCATCCCTTTTCCCAGTTGACAGGCTTTTTGATTGCTTTTAATTGTTAACAAAGCTGTTACGAATATGGATATGCAAATATCACTTCAAGATCTTATCTGAGGGGCTGGCATTTGGCACAGTTTGAAATGCCTGCACATAGCAGACTGGTCCACGTTCTGGCGCCTCTGCTTTGGGTTCACCTTCGTGCTAAGATCCACGTGGAGAGGCAGCAGGTGATAGCTCAAACACATGGATTCCTGCCACCCATGGGGGAGAAATGCATTGAATTGAGGGAAACTGGCTTTGATGTGCCTCAATCCTGGCTACTATATAAACTAGCTGATGGAAGATCTCTCTTTTAAATGAAAAATTTTTTTAAATGTTAAAAAGATCTTGATTTGAAATTTGTTGGATAAATATCCAGAAGTACATGAGAGTTTCAATTTTTCCACTAACTCACCATCAAATATACTTTTAATTGTGATGTAGCACAGACTTTGTAAAACCAAAGAACTGTAAGATATTCTACAGTAGGACCACAGTATATTTTGTAAGAATCAATTAATAACCTGAGCTTACACTAAATGTCTGACAAATCTTCCATCAAAAAAAAAAAAAATTCATTTGTGGGCTCAGCATGATAGCTTAGTAGCTAAATCCTGGCCTTGCAACCACTAGGATCCCATATGGGAACCATTTCATGTCGTTCCTGGCTGCTCCACTTCCCATCCAGCTTCCTACTTGTGGCCTGGGAAAGGAGTTGAGGATGGTCCACAAAGCCTTGGGACCTTGTATCCATGTGGGAGACCTGGAAGAGGCTCCTGGCTTCAGATTGGCTCAGCTCTGGCCATTGTGGCCATTTGGGGAGTGAACCAGCACATGGAAGATCTTTCCCTGTCTTTCCTTCTCTCTATATGTCTGCCTTTCCAATAAAAATAAATCTTAAAAAAAAAAGAAAATTTGTGTTTATTGATTCATACACATCAATACATTAATCCATTACAACTATAACTCCTCCAAAGAACAGTAGATATTAGAAAACATCTAATTCTATCCTAAACTCTGGTTTGACTTATAACAATTGACGTTTCTGAGGCTTTCATTGTCCGTCTTCTTACCTTACCACAACTTTTGCAAAAATGAATGGGTTAATATTTTAAGCATGTGTATGTACACACTACTAACAGGAACAAGTACTAGGCAGTAAATCATAAAATTTTAGCATCAATAAGTTTTGCTTTATTGCCTTGCCTTTTTTTTTTTTTTTTTTTGCAAAACAAGTAGGCACACACACAAATTTAAAATGTTAACCCATTTAACTGCAATACATTGGCTTTGCTCTTAGGCGTAACTATGCTTAAGCTAACACGCAAAAGGTTTCAAAGAGAGTTAGTAGTCACAGCTTTACTTGGGTGCATTTTAAAACCCTTAAAATCAGGTAAGGCACAGATAATGTTGTTTACATATAAAGAAAAAGTACCTTTTTGAGCTACAAAAATCTACTTTTGAGTGGAATAAAATGCTTCTTAATTAGATAGAGAGCCAATTCTTAAGGACTCTGTTCAAAAATGGATAGTGACTGAAAACGGATTTTAAAAGGGTTCGATTATGCAAATAAAGGAATTTTATCCCCAGTAGGCTTTGAAGGAGAAAAGAATTACTTTAATGCTAAGTCTCTATTTTTTTTCCCACACATAAAAAGCTTTGTAAATTCCAATCTCTCTCACTGAGTTCAATGGATAATGGTTCAGATTCAACATACCATTTACAAACCACATTAGAAAACGGGTCCTGGTTTGTGGGATGAAATTTAATGGGCAAAACGAAAAATGCTTAAATACCCTCTCCTGCAAAAGTCCTGCGAAAATCATGAATTTCTTCCAGTATCTAGGCCAGAGACTTGAATCAGTGACGGGTTGGATGGGCAGAGCACCGGCGCCAGGTACCCAATTTAAAGGACCGCAGTCACGTGGTTACCATTGAACTTAAGGCATTCAGTATGTCAGGACCGACTGCTTTGGCCCAACTCTGTCCGGACAGTCTGTCCACTTATACAGATACTCCAAGGGGGGCAGCAGCCAGCGAAGAGTGAGGCCCCAACATGATAACCCCCTGAGATTTGGGATCCAAGATCTAGGCCAGAGATCCCGGTCCTACACCTTGCCCGGCCGAGGCCACCACCGCCCACGTCCAGCTTAACTTACTTGGTCGGAGGGATGTCTGTTGAGAAAAGGTCTATTTCAGTGTCAGCCAGCAAAACAGCCTTCATCCCCCTGGAGCTGAGCACCTGTGTACAGAATCTGCAGCACAGGACCGACACGCAGCGGTCCTTGAAGCTGCAGCTGTCGGTGGTCATGGCGGCCCGGGGAAGACGAGACTTGGGGGCTTGGAGGACGCGATCGGGAGCACAGCCCTTCCCACAGTTACTGTCACGGGTACCAAAAAAAAAAAAAAAAAAAAAAAACCAGAACAAAACAAAAATCGAGTTGCGAGGTTTTCTCAGTCCTGAAAGCGAGTATAAGAGTCCATGTATTTATTGAGTGGGAGCTGGGAAGAGCAGTGAATTTAACCTTCTTTTTGACTTGGGGAGAAGGCAGTGGAGTTTACAAGGAAGCTCTCCACAGCTTTTCCTTGTTGCCTGCTGGAGGGATTCTCCAGCCCTGGACTCCCACCCCTTTATGGAAAGCGTCTCCCAGTCCCAGCGTCGAGCTCCTCCCGTGGAGCTCGCCAGTGCCTTGCTTCTCAGGATCGCGTCCTCGGCTCTCCCCAGCCTGGCTCCCCCCGGTCCTCGGCGCTGTGCGTGCGGGCAGCCCTGCGTGCTCTCGCTCCCGTCGGTTCCTTCGCGTCCTCCCCGCCCTTTGCTCCGTCCGGAGCCCCGCGGTCCGTTCCGGAGCGGTTGCTCCACAGAGAGCGGCGAGGCCGGCGGTGCGGGGCGGAGGTCGCCTGTTGGGCTGGGTCAGACACGGGCATCTGTCACCGAACACGCCGTTTTTGGCTTCTTCTTCCGCCGTCTCTGCCTCTGCCAGCCGGCTGTCAGTTTGAATTGCCAGCGCCATGCGCCGATTGGCAGAGCTGGAGTTCGCCCACGGCCCGCATTGGAAGGTCCCTGATCCGAGCTGAGTGGTCAGCAACCCGTACGTCCCGCCCCAGTAACGGTGCCGAGATCAGCTCGGATTTCTAATTGGACGATCATGGTTCCTCCTCTCATTTCATTGGTCAGTCTCGGAGTTTGACAAACCCTACTCCCGCCCTGATGTACGGGAAAGACACGCCCTAAACGCTTCTTATTGGATGTTGTTCCACAGTTCCCGCCGGGTTCTACTCTCTATTGGTTTAAATTCTCACTGCCGCCCCTCCCTTCTTCCCGGTCCAATTGGTCGTGCCTCCTTTCAAGAGTTGGGGTTTGGTCCCGCCCCCCCAGCTCTACTTTAGGCAACGCTAGCCGGGGGCGTAGCTGACTTGTGACCACGCCTAGTCAGTGACTGCTAGTCACACCTCCAAGTTTCGTCAGCTCCTCCCACTTATTCCCGGCCTCTCGGGACAAGCTATTCCTATTGGCTACAGACCCCATCGGTCGATAGAAAACGGGCGGTGATTGGCAGGAGGGTGGGCTCTGCTTCCCGGCGGGGTCCTGCGGAGTTGGCGGAGGCTCCTCAGGGGACTAGGGGGCCGATCTGCGTAGGAGCGGGTGGCGGGGAAGAGAAGGGGGAGAGCTCAGAGTGGGAAGCGGAGCCGCGGGCCTGGGACCCGTCGCGTCAGAGCCAGGTAAAGGCTCCTTCCCTCTCCCCTTTCTTCTCCCGGGACGCCGGGCTGTGGAGCCCTGACTGAACACACCCGGGCTGGGGCGGGAAGGAGAGGGCGCGGATGCTGCTCGCGGCATCGGCTTGGCGGTGGACGCCCGGAATCCCTCAGACCGCCCCCTGCCCCCGACCTTCTCCGAATCAGCCCGGAGTAGTCCTCAGGACCGCCTGTCTCCCCGCCCCTCACCGCACCGGCCTGGGTCTGTGCCCGGACTCTCCGGCCGCAGCGCAGCCCGTGCCCAGCCCCCTCCCCAGGTCCCCTTCGCGGGCCCCTCGGGGCAGCGCCGTTGGCATCTTGTGAGTGGCCGTCCGCGAGTCTCCAAGCCCTGGCACGCAGCCCGAGTCGCAGCCTAGGACCCAGAAGGATGGGTGTTCCCACAGCTTCCGGGGCTCTCTCCCCGTCCCACCCCGGAGCGCTCTCTTCCCCACTCCCGTGCTCGGACCCACGTCCCGGAGTCGTTAACATCCTTGCCCTTCCTTCACCCACTTGTCTCCCAGCCGCCCCTCAACCTCCCCCTCCCCCACGGCAGCCTCCTCCTCATCCCCGCTCTGGCCGTGCAGGACGTCCCCTGGTTCCCGTCCTGCCTCCGGACCCCAGCTCACACCCTCCTCCCCGCTTCCTGCCGCCCCCTGCTCGCTCTCCTCCCTTTGCTTGCTGCAGCCCTTCCTCCGGCTGAGGGAAGCGGGAGATGCCAGCGGGAGCCTCCCCTCTTCCCGACTCCCGGGGTGGGGACTGGGGGAAGAGTTGAGGAGGAAGGGGTCGTCGCTGCCGCACGCTGGGGAGCTAGCTGGACGCCTGGACGCGCGCTCCCGCCAGCTTCCCTCCGGGCTCCTGGGCCTGGGCTGCGGCGTGGGGAGCTCCTCGGGCACCGCCTGCTGAGAGGAGTCGGGATTGCTACCCTCAACGACCTCTTGCTCACCCCGAGTCCGGGAGTGGGTGCGGTATCGGGGATCCCCTAGGGCTTGAGTGACCAGAAAAAAATATTGAGGGGTGGCATTTCGAGTTGCTCTGGTTCCCGGCTTGGGGGAGGCGATGGCTGCCTTCCGCCCCTTGCTCCCGCCCCTCGTTTCCCGACCCTCGCCTCCAACCCGCTTCCTGCTTCTGCCGATCACATTGTGTTTCTGGATGTGTCCCGTGCCGAGCGGGCTTTTTCCTGTAGTTGCCCTCCCCAACCCCCCTAACATTTTGCTGCCAAGAGAAGCTAGTAACCAAAAACAAAACAACTGGGAGGAGGGGTGGCAGGAGCAGAAAAGTTGTGCCCGCGTGGCTCGTCCCTCTCTGCCTTTGATCCCCTTTGATGTCCAGGGGACGTGCTTCAGCCCGCGGTCAGGGAGCGCTTTGGAGGCCGAGCCGGGAGGGACCCTCAGTCTGGCTGCTGCCCAGCGCTGGTCAAGCTCTCGGGAGGCCTCTGAGGTGCCGCAGTCCCCACCCGGAGCGACTGCTCCAAAGTGTTTTCTTTTAGCCTTGGAACAAAATCCGGAGGGAGCTTCCTTCCTCCCCACCATGCCGGGGCTCCCGCCGATCAGGCGTTAGGGCTGGCGAGATGAATGGGGCCAGGCCAAGCTCCCAGCGACGTCCCCTACCTACCCCACCCCCGCGGCGATTAGGATCTGCGCTGGGGCTCATCGTCCTCCCTCCCCTTTTTCCTGCATTTACAGGCAAGTGAACCGGAGCAAACGACTTCCGATCCAGTCTGCGCTGCAGCGGCTCCCGTTTGGGATTTGATTTGCAGCATCTTTGAGCTTGTACGACAGAAAAAAAAAAAAAAAAAGCCGCGAAGCACGCCCAGCCCTCGCCCGGCACCCCGCTACGCACCCACTCCCTCCCGGGGACACAGCTGGGCGCGTCCACACCCCCGCACCCCTACATCATGTTGTGCGGAAGGACTTCCACTCCCCGCCTGTGCCGTTGATGTCAGACCCCAGGCCATCCTCCGGGCGCTGCAGTTCTCCCGGCTAATGCTGAGGCTGCGGCTCTAGCGCCGCCGTCGCCGCCCCCTCGGCCCCTGGGCCCACCGTCTGCATGTGCCCGCCTTAGCCGCGTGCCCAGCCCGCAGCCCGCAGCCCGCAGGGAGAGCTGGAGACCACCGCGGGCGGACCCTTCTGCCCTCCGGAGAAGCGATCTTGGACGTATTGATTTCGGTGGTTGGATTCTTCCCGTGGATCTATCAATTCGGTATTCGGATTTGGAAGAAAGAAGGAAAACATGACGTCTCCAGCCAAATTCAAAAAGGATAAGGAGATCATAGCAGAGTACGATACTCAGGTTAAAGGTAAGGGCTTTGGAAAATAGCGAAGGCTGGGACCGTAAGGGCTGGCGGGGCATGTGTTTCCACCGTCAACGGCTGGCTGTTCATCTCTTTGGGTGGAGCAGGTTGGGGCAGGCTGACCTCAGAGGTGGGCTTGGTAGGTGGTGCTGAGCCTCCAAAGAGGGGCAGTGCGGGGGGCCGCCAGTGCTGACAAATCAATGTTCAGAGTGGGGGGGCTTTAGGGATGTCCCTGTGGAGCCAGCCCTAATTTTGGCACGCTGGACCCGGTGGGGGAGGGGCGGGAGATTCTTGGAGAGAGAAAAAGGCACCGAACGGCCTCCTAGTGTCTGGGTCAGGTTCTCTCGAAGGACAACTGAAATCTGACAGGTGTTTGGTCATTTCCAGCTGAGGTTGAAGAGGAGTCCGTCAAGGCAACCTTGAAGAAGGTGTACCTGTTGGAAAGCCTTGGGAGAGGCGGGGCCTCCTTCCCCAATCCCACCCCATGCCCTGCATTAAAACAGGAGGTTTTGCTCTGGCACTGGGCACAGAAAAGTCCATAGCCACCTTGGGTGCACCTGGTATCCGCCCGATCCTGGGTCACCCTGTGGACAATCTGCGCCCAGAAGAACAGAAAGGATAAGGCCACCCACATGCCGTCTCCGCCCTCACCTCGGTCTAAATGGAAATTGGCTGTTAGTGTTGCTGGGTGGTGCTGATTCTGGAAAATGGGAAGACATAATTGTTTAACCCTTCTGTGTTGCCACCTTGCACTCTAGAATGTCTGCTTTCATAGCCCCATGTGCCACTCTGCAAAAATGTGAGGGTTAAAACGGAATGTGGACCTGCAGAAGCCCAGTGACCCGTCCCTTCCTGTGGTCAGTGGAGTCCCTGCCCAGACAGCCCTTTCATCACCAGCAGTTCCCTTAGGAGGGCTTCCCCTCTGTGAAAGAACCTCCAGCATGACCTTGCTGGTCAGTTAGAGGAAAGAGCCATGTGCCTGCAGCCCGCTGAAGCCATCACTGGGGAGTGGGAGAGACGGGTGGCCCCGAAGGTTACAGCACATGGTTGGAGCTCTGGATTTTCCTTTGTTTCAGAGTACAGAGGGAGGGGCCCCTCCTTCTTTCCCTGCACCAATGCAAGGAGACTCTTTCCTGTGATAGAGGACTTGGGAAAGGCCAATGTCTGGGATAATGATTGCCTTGAGGTGGGGGTTGGGGGCGGGTTGGGTTAGAGAATGGCCAGCTCTCACATCTCCTGCTAGATTGGAAGGTAGTTTGTGCCTGCAGGATCTTTTGTATGTCTGCAGTGTGGTCAGTGCTGGAGGTGCCTTAAGGGACCTTCTAGCCACTTGGCTGCAGATATTGGTAGGTTTATTACAAAGGTGGGGGAGTCAGCTGATTGATGGCTTCAGTTGAACTGGGATTGGGAGAGGTGTGGTTCTGAGTTATAATTGGGGTCTTGGCCTCTTGTCACTGTTCATAATCCCGGCCTGTTTTTGTAAACAATAGGCCACTGGCCTCTGTGTGTCCTGTCCAGACATGCTGCATTTTGCTCCTGGAATACCCCCTGCAGTTTTAACCAGATATGTTTTTTTCTTCTTTCTTTCTTTCTTTCTTCTTCTTCTTCTTCTTTTTTTTTTTTTTTTAACATATCCTATTCTTCCCTCTTGCTGTTGAGAGTATCAATAACTTTAGCATTCTCAAATTTCTCTCCAGGGGCATGCCTGTTGACAAAGGTGTAAAGTGAGTTTATATGTTTATGTTTGGCAAGGCTCATTGCTTTTTGGCCTTTTGGTTAAGATCAAGAGTAGCGTCTTTTGGAAGGTTCAACACTGATAGGTTTTAACAGAACCATATCTGCCAGTTGGTAAAGGATGTCTCACCAATGTCTCAGAATTAAACACTGTGTAATTTACAAGCAGTACTGATTGAGATGATATCATGTGGTTCACTCTTGGGGCTTCTCTTCAACCTTGTCATAGACAGGAGATTGCTTTGCTCTGATATTGTTCCATTGATGCTGTTCAAGATCATAGAATTTTACAGGTGTTTGAGTATGATATCTTGCTTAGAGAAGGTACCTGGTGCATACTTATCAGACTGATTTAAATCATGAAGTCCCTGATTGTATAGCTGAAGAGTACAGAGAACTGAAGCAGCCTGCCCAAGGTCACACAGCTAAGTGGTAGCAGATCTTAGATTCGAAGCAGTTTTACTGATTTCTGATTCCCCATTCGGCATTTACTGTGAACCAGTCTGACCAGGGTGAGAAAACGAATTAAAATGAAGGAACTGCAATCAGTCAGTGAATAGTAATAGTGATAATGATAGTATTTTACGTTTAGGTGCTTGTTAAATTGCAGCCTGTACTAAGCGCTTTACATGAATGATCTGGTTTAATTTGCACGTCATCCCAGAAAGTGGGTATTATTGTCACCTTCCACTTACTGCATGAGGAAACTGAGGCTTCAGGAAGGTAAACCCTTTCAAGGTCATACAACGAAACCACAGCAGTTTGATTTCACTCTTATTCAGCAACTGTTTATTGACTACCTGCTGGGTGTTCTGTGGTCTGGTGACATGGCAGTACAGAAGACAAAGTCCTCACCCTCAAAGAGTTTATATTCTAAAACTTGTGCTCTTTAGGGAAAAACAAAACTTGGAGACAAAGGACTGGGGTTCGAGGTTGACTCTGCCCTCCCCAACCCAACTGTCTGGAAGATCTGAGCCAGAATTGTTACGAGTTTCAGCTTCTTATGTATCATGAGACTCATGATGCTGCCAGCCTTTCCTGTACAGATGCCAAGATAAGACACCTGCTATAATAGCAAAGCAGTTTGGTTTGGTGGTTCAGAGCGCAGGTTTACAATCAAAGGAATCCAGGTTTACATCTTGGTCTTGCCATTTGCGTGCTTCGCACATCAGACAGGTTACGTGACTTGTCTGAGCCTCAGTTTCTTAATTAGGGAAATAGGAAAAATAGTATATATGTCCTAATGCACTTGTGAGGAGCCAAGGAAATAGGCTGAATACATTATTTAGCACAGTATCTAAGACTTGGTAATGCTCAAAATAGTGCAATCTACTACTTGTCTCTTAGTGAACCATCCTCCAAGCCAATTTGGGTTGATTAATAAGAGCACGTTGTGGTTCACTCTAGCTATTTAAATGATTGGCACAGGTCTAGGGATGAATCTTGAGTTCTAGCCTAAGTCATTTGCTAATTACAAAAGATACCTTTTGTCTTTCATATAAACCCTTGGGACATCAGTTGCTTTTTCTGTGAAGTGAACAGGTTGATGATCTAATCGCTGGCTGCCAGAGTCCCAATCCTGCTTCTTACTTGGCTCCTGCTTCTCACATGGAATGCTTTGAGGCAAGTGGCTTCTAAATGGACTCGTGGGATTCTGTTCAGCCTGTGGTGTTTGCCTCTTCTTAAACCATCTGCTTACAAGTGCCCTGAAGGAGTTCTGAGGCGGGGCCCCCAACCCTACCCCAGTGCGGTTTCATTAGGGGCATGCCTCCTTCATCAGTCTGCCTTGTAGCCGCCTTCTTAAAAACCATCATTGTTTCTGGTTTGTGGGTGTTCAGATTCCTTTGAAAGTTCATGCCTCTGAATGTCTAACTGGAAGGCAATAGTCTTAGCCTTTTTACATAGCCCTTTCCAATTTGCAAAGCACTTGCATGTACATTAATCTCTGGAAATTCTTTACAGCCTAGTCAGATTCATAGTCATAACTTGGGGCCTTTGACCTCCCTTGTTAACTCGCTGGCTAGGACTGAAGCAGTGGTTGGTGGTTAAGGAGCAGAGCATGGTTACCAGGGGTGATCCTTTGGGTGATACTTGGGTGAATTCACAACATTGCATGTATTTTAGCTATTGTCCTTTCCTTACTCTGGCTTCCTTACCTTCGCCAAACCGTGAGTTTTGCTACTTTTTCAAAAGAAGGCTTGAAGTCGAGAGTTAATGCAAATATTACAGGAGGGATAATCTGAAACAGAGTGGCACTGTGTATTGAGCAGTGAAATTCTTTTTCTTGAGAACATTAGGGGTCTTGTCTTTTTTTTTTTTTTTTTTTTAAACATCTTGGGAGAATGGTGTCTGCACACCATAGAGCTGAGAAGTGAAATTTTGCAATTTCCATCTGGAGCATTTTGATAGAAAAAGCATAGGCCTTTGCCTGGAACAGTTTAACCCTTTCAGGACCCTATGAGAGAGCAGGCAATGCAATTTCAAACTGCAGTCATATCGTGTGTGCACATTGGGAATGCTGATTGCTGGTATTTAAACAAGCTTGTTCCCCTGGGAGGTTTGAGCAGTTCTTCACTCTTGCCAATGAAGGTCTTTCCTGAGGTGTCTTTTGTCCCAGCCCCCACCCCCCAAGGGAGCTTTAAATATAATCAGTTTGTGAAAAGCTGCAGTAAAACATCCCGTTGGAATCCCCAAGCAGATGCTATCATCTTCCTGTGAGGTGATTGAGGGCTCCTCTTCCCTTGCTCAGGGACAAGAGCCACTCTGCCGTCAGGTGAATCCCTGGAAGCAAATGAAGCTCTTGGGAAATTTCAAGTACTCTGCAGCTCAGAGGTAAAGGACCCTGGAGCAGGTGGTGGGTCTGGGGCCATGGGATATGTGAAGCAGCAAATTCACATAGAGTCTTCAGGCATTCTTTGGGGGAATAGGAATGGGGATAGTTCTTTTGGAGAAAGCTACCTGATTGTCAGGCTTCATGCATCTTGCGCCATATACATTTAAAGCTAAGACAAGCCCTGATCATTTCCCCACTATGAAGTTTACAGAGTCTGACCTGGTCCTGATAAGTAGGACCCAACCCACATGTTTTTAAAAGTGGCACGTGCCCACACCTTGCTTTAAATTACCTCTGTTGATGGGTGACACTTCTAGACCCAGCTGCTCCTCTTCCCATCCAGCTCCCTGCTTAAGGCCTGAGAAAGCAGTGAAGCATGGCCCAAGTCCTTGGGACCCTGTACCCTTGTGGAACCTGGAATAAAGCGCCTGACTTTGGA